GAAAAATTCGGTATGTATGGGAGGTGCCACGCCCCCTTTTCCAATAACCACAATTTTTTTCCATGAGTATGCGATTGGTTTCATATATCTCCATACCATGTTCGAGTACTCTACCATGAACACTTCCAGAGATATGCAATATGAAGAATTCGGTTTGTATGGGAGGTGCCACGCCCCCTGCACCTAGCGGAATGAAATATACTTTACATCCGATTCTCATACCTACCAAATATACACAAAAAATTTCATAGAGATCGGTCGAGCCGTTTCGGAGGAGTTCGACCACAAACACCGTGACACGAGATTTTTATATATTAGATTGAATAGGATACAAAAATGCATACCCAAAAAATTTACAAAAATTTCTTAATAAAATTTGAAATTCGTGAAATTATATATATATATATCTATATGTGTATGTATGTATGTACATTTAACGTTAAAATTAGTTCTAACGTGAAAGTAAGTTTTGCAATGAAATAAAAATCAAATATTTTAAATTTCTATTGTTTTAATTTCAGGAAATAACTAGATATAAGACTGAAGAATAAAATAATTTTAGTATCCCAAAAAACGTATTTTAATGAGTCCGATACTGAGTAGTATCGATACTTTTTCCCTGATACTTTTAGAGTATCGATACCATGAGCTCGATGCCAGAATGAGTACTCAGTATCGATACCAAAGTCTGAAATTTCGAACCCTATACATACATACATATCCCTGCAGGGAAAGTTACTAGTTGTGAACTGGAATTCTACCAGTTTGCGTTTCAGCTCAACTAGTTCACGTTCTATCCTTTTTTAGTGTTAGCGACTGGTATTTTTAACATTGCGATGTCCTACGAGATGTCAATTGTCAGGCTATGCATCAGCATCTACTAATATAAATACTAGTAGCATCATACCAGTTGATGAGATAGTCTGCCAATTCATGCCCCGTGAAAAGCATAAGTGTGCCTTTTTGCTAGCGACGCTGCAGCTGTCACAATGGCCGACAGAGTAAACCACTCGCGTGGTAAGCCTGAGGTCCCTGGTTCAAATCCTGGCACAGGGAAATTTTTTTTATTTTCTATTTTTTATTTTATTTTTATTTTTTATAAATTTATTTTTTTTGTTTAGGCTGTTTATTGTAATTTTTAAATTTAATAAAAAAATATTTTTGTCTAATTTCTTTGTTTTTATAGCACAAGCATTTTTTCTTAAATGTTTTTTTCAATGCAATTAGATTTTCAAATTTGTTATTTGTTATTTGTTATTTATTTATTATAAATAAAATAAATCACTTACATTTATTTAACTTTAAAAATCTTAACCACCTCCAAGCGGCCTCGAACCTGCGATTTCAGAACCAGAACCAGTAGTCTTCACGTCACGCCACAGCCGACATTTGTAAGAAAAGCAATTAATTGTGTTTTATTTTTGGCTTTGGCAATTCAAAGGCAGATGTCGCTGATCGCCTAAGTTCTTCGAAATTGTCGAACTGGTTGGCCCATACTAGTTAATTAACTAGTATTTTTCTAACTGGTTTGGCTTTTCACTGCAGGGTATGTAACTGCAGTGGAAAGACCTATGCAGCGACTAATCGGTTTCTTCCTCTTCAATGCACTATTTTCATATTTTTGATTGTTGCATTTGATTTGACGCAGTGGGAGTTTTTGGCGTTGAGTTGTACAAAATTTGCAAGTTTTCCATTAAATAATTTTAATATTACCACGGTCACACCGCTCGATGGGGCTTTTTGGATATGTTATTCCGGACGTTTTTCTGAATCGATTAGTATTTTTTTTCTAGGACTGTTACATTTTTTGGTGTGAAAATGCCAAATTTACTACACAAATGTGCTACATCAAACTGAATATCTTAACTTATTGTTCAGAGTTCAATGTAAGTCACTTTTAGCACATTGCTTCTCAGTCTAAATCGAATTTAATAGTCAATATATATTATTGTATTTGTTTAATTTAATCAAAATATTGTTTTTTAATACACTTACGTATCTATTATGTACTTAGTACGTATGTAAATAACAAAAGAGCGAAATGTATTCTTCTCTAGAAACTTATTTTCAATTTTATTAATTTATTATTGGTTCAAATGTGTAAGTAACGTTCAAATATGTATATATATGTATATTAATAAACAAAGCTTTTATATAGAAAATAACTAACCAAAAATCTTATTGTAAACCAAGAAAATAAAATGAAATAAAATAGATCTTTAAGCGATTCACTTAAAAATACCCGCCTTTTTTAAATGAACGGAGAACTAAACGCTTCAAATGGAATGTGTCTACTG